ATGGGGTTTCACCATGTTGACCAGGATGGTCTCGATCTCTTGACCTCGTGATCCACCCGCCTCGGCCTCCCAAAGTGCTGGGATTACAGGCGTGAGCCACCGCGCCCGGCCAAGCACACTTAATCTTTAGAGAATAAGCCAAATATATAAATAATCAGAATACAATTCAGTGTGAATATAACAAAGCCTTTAGTAATATAAGGATTTCCATTTTACTTAACAAATAAGGAAAATGTCTCCTTGTGACAGCAACATGTAAAATGGGTACACAGGCAGGGAGATGAATCCACTATGACTTGGGTAACAAATGTGGCTGGAAACATTTTGTAGAGGGTCTTGAAGACTCGAACCGATAGTTTTCTAAGCCTAAACGCCACCTCTTTTTCTTTGATTCAACTATTACTAAATATTAGGAGCCCCTCAGAGTTCTGTACAGAGCCACCTTTTCATTCTATTCTCTGTGGTGTCTATTTCCAGTAGTTAACCACATCTATAAACCTAGGAATCCCAATCACATCCCTAGTTGAAACCACTCTACTTTCCTCCCAATCCCTATACACACATCTACTTCCCAACTCACTTATATCAGAGAATGGTGTCTCTGCTCTTTGACCTGCCCAGGCTGGAGTGCAGTGGTGTGACCATAGCTCACTGATGTCTCAACCTCTTGGGCTCAAGTGATATTCCTATCTCAGCCTCCCAAGTAGCTGGGGACCACGGGCTCATGCCACCACACCTGGCTATTTTTTTTTTTTTTTTTGGTAGAGATGGGGTGTTGCTCTGTCTTAAGTTCCCGCCTCCAGTATCCTCCCACCTTGGCCTTCCAAAGTGCTGGGATTACAGGTGTAAGCCACAGTGCCCATCCAGGTACCATTTTTTATTTCACTGATCTTCACCACATACATCCAAAGTCCTGTTAAGTCTACTTCTCCTCCATGTTCCACTGGGAGTACAGACAGCTGTACTCCAGATTATTCTGGTATTGCACAACTCCAGGGTCACTGTCCCAGATTGGTTATAATATGAATATCAGGTCCTAGGGCGGTACGTGCATGCCCTCTATGCCCTTATAGTGATCCTGTAAGACTACCTTTCAATGGATTCCCACTGACTTGCTATAAGGTTCTTAACATGGCCTAGAAAGTCTGCCTGATTTGACCTCAACTTATCTCTCCAGTCATTTTTTTTTTCCCACTCTCTCCCTTAATAGGATTTATGTCAGTTTTCCAACAGTTTCCTTGTACATACTGTACCCTATTCTGACTCTTATTCTTTCAAGTCTCGGGTTCAAATGTCACCTCCTTTACAAAGCCTCTTCTAAAGCCTCTCCCTAGCAACATCTGAAATGGGTACACAAGCCAGGAGATAAGTCCATTAGATGCCACTCATTATTAAAGGGCTGTAAAGTACCTGAACTTAATGTCATCAAAACTCTGAAGCTGAAATTTATTGTCCGATGTTTGACTTCTCATCTAGACTGTGTGAGCTCCCTCTAAAAAGCAAGGGCTCTGGAAATCCCCTGTACTTAAAATAGTGTCTAGCACACAGCAGATGTTTAAAATTATCTGCTGAACAACAGACTGGAGATGCACTTCAGATTTTTCTGGCATTCAAATGTTGCTCGGATTGGAATGGAAACAGGGGTACCAGTTTGGAAGATACTGCTGTTGCCCACATCAAAGTTTACTGCATTTTAAGCATAATCAACATAAAAAGCATTGTGATGGTTAATAGTGTCAACTTGACTGAAGGATACAAGTACCAATCATAGGTGTGTCTGCGAGGGTGTTGCCCAAAGACATTAACATTTGAGTCAGTGGGCTGGGAAAGGCAGACCCACTGTTAATCTGGGTAGGCACCATCTAATCAGCTGCCATCGAGGCTAGAATATATATACAGCAGACAGAAAAAAAAAAAAAAAAAAAAAAATGAAAAGACTAGACTGGCCTAGCCTCCCAGCCTACATCTTTCCCCCATGCTGGATGCTTCCTGCCCTAAAACATCGAACTCCAAGTTCTTCAGTTTTGAGACTGGCTCTCCTTGCTCTTCAGCTTGCAGATGGGCATACTGTGGGACCCTGTGGTCACGTCAGTTAATACTTAATAAATGCCCCTTTATATATGTATCTATCCTACTAGTTGTGTCCCTCTAGAGAACGCTAATAGAACCACTTTTTAGAAAAGGGTTGTCGTGAAGAAATAAATACAAGAGGCCTAAGAAAGTCAACAGTGGGGAGGGCAGGGTGGCTCGCGCCTGTAATCCCAGCACTTTGGAAAACAGAGGCAGGTGGACCTCCTGAGGTCAGGAGTTCGAGACCAGCCTGACCAACATGGCGAAACTCTGTATCTACTAAAAATACAAAAATTAGCCAGGCGTACTTGAGTGTGCCTGTAATCCCAGCTACTCAGGAGGCTGAGATAGGAGAATAGCTTGAAACTGGGAGGCAGAGGTTGCACTGAGCTGAGATCATATCACTGTACTCCAGCCTGGGCAACAGAGCAAGACTCTGTCTCAAAAAAAAAAAAAAAAAAAAGTCAGTCAACATGTGACACCTGTTACCACTGAGGAAATGAGGTGAAATACAAGCTGGGGAGAGCAGTATGCCATTTGCTTAAGATAGCAGAAACTGTGCATGTTGGAAAGCAGACAAAAGAAACCAAGGAAAAAAAAAATCATACAAGACACAGGGCAGAGACGAAAATACTGTTGAAAGTAAAATCCCATGTGGAAGAGTTAGCCTTTACTGAAGGTTTCTCTCTAGCAGGAAAAAAAAAAAAATAATAATAAGATAAAAGAGTTTTCAGTGGACTGGGTGCGGTGGCTCATACCTATAATCCCAGCACTCTGGAAGGCCAAGGCAGGCAGATCACGAGGTCAAGAGATTGAGACTATGCTGGCCAACATGGTGAAACCCTGTCTCTGCTAAAAATACAAAAATTAGCTGGGTATGGTGGCGCGCATGGGGTTTCACCCTCTCTATTTATTAGTCTCAGCTACTTGGGAGGCTGAGGCAAAAGAATCACTTCAACCCGGGAGGCGGAGGATGCAGCGAGCAGAGATTGTGCCATTGCACTGCAGCCTGGCAACAGAGCAAGACTCTTTCTCAAAAAAAAAAAGAGTAAATAACTGGGCGTGGCTGTGTGCACCTGTAGTCCCAGCTACTTAGAAGGCTGAGGCAGGAGAGTAGCTTCAACCCGGGAGGCGAAGGTTGCAGTGAGGCGAGATTGTGCCACTGCACTCCAGCCTTGTACAAATGAGACTCCATCTCAAAAACAAAACAAACAAACAAAAAACAGAGTTTTCAGTGATGTGGAACATTCTCTCAACAGGTAAATTATGTCCAATGGCTTCAAACCTGTTCATACATCCTTAAGGTCATCTGCTTAGTTGCAAGAATACTGAGGCAGTTTGATAAAAGCTGAGAAAGTTTTAAGTATCTACTAGAATAAACTTGTTAGGGGCTAGGCTCAGTGAGTTCATGCCTGTAATCCCAGCACTCATGGAGGCAGAGGCTGGAGGATCGCTTGAACCAGAAGTTTGAGATCTGCCCGGGCAACACAGTGAGACCCCATTCTCCA